AATATGCATTAGCTTGACCGACTATGCTAAACTTAATTGATGTTAATTAACAACTAAATATAAAGAGGATTCTGATGTAGCAACACCGTCGAAATGTATGCATTTTACATATTATTAACCGCTCACCGCGGTTAAAGCACAGAGCGAGTATTTCCGCACAAACAAAACAATGCAAAATTTTAATAAGAGAGCAAAAATTGGGTTAATAATCTATAATAAGTTTCTCATATAAACAACGCGGCGATTAGCGATTCGATCGCCCGATTATCAATTTTGTGCTTGTCAATGAAGACTGCTCTCGGGCTGTGCGAAAGTATCGGTCACGAGCCACTGGAAAAACAGAAAATTTTTGCTCATTTTGACGCAAAAACTAAAGCAGAATCACACATATTATGTTGTAAAACGAAAAAATTAATATTAAGTGTGACTGTAAATTATCCATACAAAGAACTTCATTAGATTAAATCGAAGATTAAATTAACTGCTGACCACAAGATTTAATTTCAGAAAGAATGTTTATTTAACTTAGCAGGTATTTAATCATCATAATCCGACATCAAGCGACTCATTAGTAGTCGAAAAGTGAAATTTCACTAACTGACGAAGCCACTAATTCTGAAAATTTTACAAATGTGTAATAGTGGTCAGACAGCACAGTTAATATAATCGCTTCAAACGATCTTTACTTAAGTAGGTGCGGATTCAGAATTTTCCACTTTGGACTAAGTTATACAAAATATCTCTAATGAGGAGCTTAATTTAAACAATTACAATATTTTTCGGGCTGATCGCAACTCTAATACCAGTGAAAAAGTTTGTGGGGGTGGTGTGTTGATTGCAGTAAAAAAGGATTTTAGGGCATCTGTGATTTTATCTGGTCGGTTTGTGGAAAGTATTTATATTAATTTTAAACACAATAATTTAGATCTTATAGTTGGTGGAGTTTACATTCCGCCTGCATCGCATTTGAATGTTTATGAAAATTATTGTTCTGATTTGGAGTGTATTTTTGAAAAATTTCCTAATTCCTCTTATATTATAGCTGGTGATTTCAATCTCCCTCTTTCAAACTGGAATAGGAATGATATGCAGTTTAACTCATTTGGTAATTTTCGGGAATATTGTGAGGTAATTTGTTTAACTGCTGCATTTATGAACATGCAACAAGTTAATAGTATTCCAAATTCCAGAGGTGTTTATCTTGATCTTATTTTTTCTAATATAGTCAATATAGATATTTGCCATGCAATAGACCCTATATTTTCTGAAAGTTTTCATCATTCTCAGTTATCGTGGTTTGTATCTTCTGTTGATCTTCCTACCTTATATTATGAATCTCGTATTTTTGACTTTACTAATGGTGATTATAATATGTTAAATGAATTTTTTGCTTCAGTTCATTGGGATTCCTTATTAATTAGTCATGACTTGGATGAGAATATTTCAACTTTTTATAATATTCTATTTTATGGTTTTGAGAGATATATTCCATATAAAGTTGTAAAATATAGTCCTTCTAATTACCCAAAGTGGTTTACTTTGGAACTAAAAGATCTATGTCGAAGGAAGAGTGAAGCACATTACAAATATAAAAAATCAGGCAAATTAGGTGACTATCTCTATTTCAAATCTTTGCGATCTCAATGCAAAGAGCTTAATCAACAGCTGTATGCTGATTACATTGTTAAGGTAAATTTAAGTATCTCAAGTGATCCCAAATTTTTCTGGAAGTTCGTTCGGGACAAGAAGGCGAATGATGGTATTCCTGATGAAATGATACTTGGACAGCAATCGGCAAAAAAGGGTGAAGATATAGCTAATCTCTTTGCGGATTATTTTGCTTCGGTGTATGTTAAGGATGACTCTAGAAAATTTATGTGTGATTTTGAGGTGTCACCTCAGGTTCATGATGTAGGTTTAAATATCACACTAACCGATGTTTTTGATCATATATCTGATTTGAAATCGTCTTGCAATCCTGGTCCTGATGGTGTACCTAGCATAGTTATAAAAAATTGTAAATTTACTCTTTCGTTACCTTTGCTAAATTTATTTAAATCCTCATTGAGGGAAGGAATTTTCCCGGAAATATGGAAAAGAAGTTTCGTAATTCCAATTTTTAAATCCGGTCAGCGTAATAAAATTGACAACTATAGGGGTGTATGTAATCAATCTGCAATTTCTAAATTACTCGACGGTATAGTATCCAAACAGTTACAATGGAGTTCCTCTTCGGTTATTTCGTTTAAACAACATGGATTCTGTGTTAATAGATCTACGCTTTCAAATTTGTTAGAATATCAATTGTTCTTAAATGAGGCCTTCACGGATAGATGTCAAGTTGATTCGGTATATACTGATTATGCCAAAGCTTTCGACAGAGTAAATCATAGACTGCTTATTATGAAATTGCAAAGATTAGGTTTTAAGGATCTATCGATTAAATGGTTATCGTCTTTTCTGTTGGGTAGAATGCAACAAGTTCGCATTGGGAATTGCTTTTCTTCTTTCTTTAATGTTCCGTCAGGTGTCCCGCAGGGCACCCATTGTGGTCCTATCCTTTTTTTATTATTTGTGAATGATGCGACTCAATGCTTTAATTATTCGAATTACTTACTATATGCTGATGACCTAAAGCTTTTTAAAAATATACGATCGGTTCAAGATGCAGTGCAACTTCAGGTAGACCTAGATTCACTTGGCGAATGGTGTGATAACAATTGGCTCCCTTTGAATATTAAAAAATGTTATGTTATATCATTTCTTAATTTAAAATCTCGTATTGAGTTTAACTATCAAATTAACTGTCATGCTGTTACTCGTGTTTTTGAGATAAAGGATTTGGGTGTGATATTTGACTCGGGTCTCACATTTAAGAATCATTATGGTTATATTTTTAATAAATCCTTAAACATGTGGGGTTTCATTTGGCGTAATTGCAAAGATTTGTCAGCGTCAGCATTGAGAATTCTGTATTGTTCGTTAGTACGGTCACATTTGGAGTATTGCTCCTCTGTTTGGTGTCCAATTTATAATGTAGACTCTTTATTACTGGAAAAGGTTCAGAAGAAATTTCTTAGAACAATTGAGTTTAAGATGGGACATAGACATGTTAGAGGTGAATATAGTTGGATAATGAGTTGTTTCAACATTCAGGAACTAGGCATACGGAGATCTATTAATGACGCGCATACACTTCACAACATTATCAATGGCCGTATTGATAATTCTGAATTACTAAGGAGATTGACATTTTTGGTACCGGCATCAGGAAGCTGCACTACTCGTAGCAGAAATATATTTAGAATTCGATTGGCAACATCAAATTTAGCAAAAAATCATCCTTTGCGAAGAATGATGGACGCTGCTAACCGCTATACAAATGATGATAAAGTTGAGATCTTCAATTCTTCAGTGTCTAAGTTCAGGAAGCAAATGTTAAAGTACTTCGGTTGTTAATGATATAAGGTGGTTATTAGTATACATGTATATATATATTTAGTTAATTATGTTTAAGAGTGTAATTATTTTTTTTTGTAAGTGGGGTTTTCCCGTTAATAAACTAAACTAAACTAAAACTAAACTAAACAGTTGAAAATTGCCTTAACAAAATTGGTTTCAACTTCGAATAAAGATTTGGTTTGTTTGAAATAGTTATCATTGCCTCTATTCAACTATTTTGTACAATTTACCACGCTTTATACTGTAACAGTGATGATAATTTGTCGCATATTTAACATTGTTAAGTCGTAATTTGACTAACAACAACTTAACAATAAAAGAGATAGTTCTCATATATAAATGTAAGTCAAATAATGCGTTATAAATAACTCCGACTAACGGCTTATTTTTTTTTTTTGAAGAAACCCGATTTTGAAAAATTGTATCTAGTTTTTTCATTTAGAATTTTTGACCCCGTATTTATAAAATATTTTCTTCGATGATGTTGCTATAAATGTCCAATAAAATCAAACTATAACGATTTTCGTCTCCAAAGTTAGTTAATGGCATATGACAGGCAGAAATATTCTTTATCGTTTAGTGTGACACTACTTAATTTTGTCGAAGCTTAATTGCTTATAACTTTGTTCTTAAAGCGGCGAACCGCTCAGATACATCCTGTACATTTTTTATATTTTTGTAATCAGTTTATTTAAATTTATGTTTTAGAAATGTTCCACGATACATTTTGTTTTTATTGCTAGGACATTCGTGTCTAACTTATGTCCAATTACACGAATTTTATGGTATTTAAAATAATTTATTGATTTTTCGATATTCCTCAGTTCAGATGAGGAAAGGTGACACTAGGCTCTAGAATATTCAATTTTCTACTCAACACTCATCTTACACCTACGATTCTAATTTACGTAACCTGTACTTGCTAATAAGAATAATTCCAGAAAATGGAAAATTTAAATGCATATTTAGATTGACTTAATTTACGTAATAAATTTTCGGCAATAAAACTGTCACTGATTCTGGATTTGACAATATAACAGCGGCAACACCATGACCAATTTTAATATTCATAATATTCAAGAGTCATAACATGATTCCCGGTAACACACGGACGGGAACATGTTTTTTACCGCATCCTTTAATTCATACAGTTTTACCAAGAACCGATCAAGACAGTACTTGCTTAAATATCTAGCAGACTTCTGAGGTGACGTCAATAATTTTTTTTTCAAAAAATTTTGATAAACCATAACCATAAGTCAAAAATATGTTAGGTATAAATCAAAGAAGGCAGCCGCTTTTCGCCCTTGGTGTATAAACAAGTATTCCGGTACTGCTCGGGTCGAGGGTTGGCCACCTGCCTTCTCGTCGAGATCTCCGCGATTTCCAGAGGCGCTGAAATCTCCTCTGGTGGCGTAAACATCTCGGCTCTGCACCTGAGCAGGTCCGCGGCAGTGGGGACCATCGCCAAGTGGGGAACTGGAGGGGACGAAATGTAGGTCTGTGGGTCCCAATGGAGGTGGGTGGTATTCAGTCTGTTCGTGCACTCTGTGGTACCGCTAGCGTGCAGAACCGAAGGACTTCCGCTTGGGGAAGGTCGCATCGCCACCCCCAGCAGACTCAGGAGTGCTTCGAGCGGCGGCGTGCCAACCGGGTCCCGTCCAGCCGCGTCCGAAAAAGCGGTCGGCCGAAAAAGGCTTCTGGTAATTGCGGCGGCGGCAGTGGTCGAAATTCGCGGTAAAGTCGACTAATTGGACGTTCCTTTTGTCGGAGAGTTTGCAGTGTTTCGCACGTTTGACCTTCGTCGAGCTTATTCCGGTTTGTGGACTTTATGCAAATGAGCCCGAACAAGAAGTGACTACCAAGTTCGATCATGCTTGCGAATTTTTCTAGTTTTTTGCCGGAGCCAGTGGACGAGTGATAAAAGCTTTACGGCGGACCGCTAAAAGAACCGATAAACGGGCCGAGTTTGCTCAGGCATAAGAATGTTAACAAAAGTAAACTTTGGTGGCAAAAAACAAGAGTGAAGTAGAGGCGAAGAGTTGACAGAAGCAGCGAGATCTGTCAATATTGACAAGACTGTGACGAGCGCCCACTCGCGTTCTTCCTCTTCGTTCAGTGTCCTTCGGATTGTTGTGTGCGCTAACGTTTTATAACTTAAGGATATTTACCGCCACGCTTCGCCTAACCTCATTCTACACCGACAATAATTAGTGAAACTCTATGTTGTTTAATTTGGATTTCCTATGCATGTAAGTAGTTGAAATAGTTCGGAGTCTACGACATCGGAATGCGACTGGTTTACCATAATTACCATCTTTGGCTTAAAATTGCAACAGCAACGCTCGCTTAATCGACAACTTTATGCACTCACTCTTAATCATCTTTCCAACGCGAGTTCCATGAACTTATGTCAAACTTAGCGTACAAACATGTGTGTACTTGAAACAACGACTAAATCAACTTTGACATTTCAATCCCGTAGTTTATTCTGAAAATAGGCGTCGTTAGTGTTCGTATCAAACGTGCAATTATCTCTGACTTTATTTTATGCACGTTTGCGGTAACCACGTAACAACGAGAAACGTTGAATTTGGCGTTACTAACACCAAAGATAAAGTTTATTGACGTATGGCGATATTTACCTTTACATAATTAAAAAAAAAACTCTTCAAACAAGGAGATATTTTTAGTACATAGAATAGTTCACGATTTTGGGCACACGATGTAGTAAATTTTATAATTACTTCCCATACTCTATTGTTTTTTTTATAGAACAGTCATACACAAGTATTTTTCAACAGATTTTGTTTGATTATTTAAAAATTCTAAATTTGTTTTTTCACTCTTCTTCACACTTCGATTGAGCTCAGCATAAACCCGAAGTCATTTTCCATATCGATTTATTACACCTATCGATTCATAAATTTTGAAATGTCAGTGAGAATTTCCATTTCTCATTAGGGCTCGCTTCGAATCAATTAGCGCTTTCTCATTTCCATTTAGATTCTGTTTGACTCACTGAAACGATTATTATTATTATTATTATTGCTATGAAAGTAAGTTGGTCAACAGGCACTAGTCGCAAGTATAGACCAATACAACAGCATACAGAAGATATAGATGTTAAACACGGGTATACAAAGGTATGACAATACAACAATTAGACGAATATGTGAAACGCCATGGAACAATTGTCACATAAAATGTCAAGTGTTTGATGCTTTTCAACATCTTTACAAGGAGTTAGTAAATAGAATGAATAATAGAGCTGAGATCAAGCTCTCAGAACAGAGAAAGACAATCTACGAAGGAGATCAGGACATGATCAAAGAACCATGCGTCTCTAGAAAAACGACCAAGAGCTGGAGCACCTATACAGCTCTAGCACACGAGCAATTTCTACAAAGAACTCACCTCTGTCAAACGTTCCAATGTGGCAGGATTTTGAAACAGATGGGTTCGAAAGCTTAACTTGAAAGTTGAACAGAATTTTCGATCTATCGGAGGTATTGTGGAGAACAATATCGAATTCCCGTTCTGGTCAAGCAGACATGGACATTTTGGAAGAATAACTGGTCAGACACACGAATCTGTTTCCGCACCATCAGCAATGGCACATCGGGGACCTACATTATGCCACCACCCAAAATGATAAAGAATGAGGTCTTTCGATGACAACGTATGGGAGAAGGAACATTCGAAGCACCCAATTAAGAACCTGCTCAGATGGAGCTCAGCGATACAGTTAAGTACCGAACGACGACAGCTGGTGGAAGGTGCAGGGATCACACAATGTGACTTTGCACCTACGATGGCTAAGTACCAGATGAACAAAAAAGTTACCTCAATCAAACTGAGCGATAGCCTTCATGAGCCTGAGAAGGGCTCAATAGATCATGGCTTCTCAAGAACCACTGATCTGCTTTTACAGACAAAGGTAACATAAGAACGTAATTAGTGGTTCAACACCCAAACATAAACATAAAACGATCTTGTATAACATTCAAGATAAATCGGGTTTTTCAAAGTGAGTAACTTTAAATTTATATGGAGTGGAAACAATAGTCCGACATTATGTATTTGTTTACGCAACTGTTCATTTATGATAAATATTAATGAGTTACGTATCTAGGGGAACAACAAAAAAATCGAATAAAATTTGTCATAACAATGATATCGTAGCCGCAAATTTATGTCGTGATTATTACATTTTAAATAGTGATTTTTTTATTCAGGTTTTAACCTCAATATTTATGACAATTTTTAATTGACATCTTTTTAATTTTTAACATTAAACAAAATATTCATTAAAAAATTGGATTGTGTGAAAAAATACCGTGTCCAAAAAATATAGATACACTGATTTTGATTTTTTTTAAATTATTGAAACAGAAATTTAAGGCCCCGTACCCATGAATTTTTTTGTGTTTTTAAATTCTGGTTATTAATAAATAATAAATAAAATTTTCCTTTTAAGTACAAAAACACAATGTTTGTGGATTCCTTTATTTTTTCATTTATGCAGCATATCTATATTTTTTTGATGCCCCTACATTCTCTATTTCAAAATTTGTAATTTAACAAGTATTACTTGCCAGTCTGATTATATGTTATTAGAAATATTTATTATCTATTCAACCGCAAAATTAATTTAACGAAAAAGTAAAATCGGTAGTTTCCTCGTACGTGGTTTAGCTTTAGTCTTCAGTTCTCATTCTATTTAGTTAGAAATAAATAAAATTTCAACGCTGGTTTTGAAATCAAGTAACAGATATTTGCTGAAACACAATTTATAAACGAATGAAGGATAAAACTTAAAATGCAACTAGTGGTAACAAAGGGCTGGTGCCAACAAATTTTAACCCTCAGGCGGATGAATAATAATCTGTGAACTAGTAATATCCAGAAAAGCAAAATTTACAGTTATTAAACTATCAACTCTGATCGAACATAAAACATGCTCAACTCGATTGTAATTATTTACATCATTGCATGTAAATCTACTCTCAAACCCATTAATGCCATTCTAACCTTGGTATAAAAAGTAGCCTTAGGTGATGATCACACTCCAATTTAAAGCCAAGACTTCATAGAGTGGCATCTGTAATATTTCCAAGAAAAAGAATTTTATTTATTTACTTTATCATGACTGGCTAATGAAACCTAACAGTTTCTTGTAAGATGATAGTTCTAGTTCAAGTTGTTATAGTGCCAACAATTTCGATAAAATCTTTCAAACATTTTTGTGCAATTTACATCACATTAGAGACTAATGCGGACACCAAATTTTAACTCTGTGTGTAATTTTTACTTCTTCGATCCCCAAATCTCTCTTTCTAAATTACCCACTGCAGTTCCAATTTCTACATCAGCTCCTATTTTAACTCAATTACATCTCTCTCATTTTCAGATTGTGAAACTTCATTCCTCGCTCAGCGCTAAAACCTCCAGCGTCCAATTAGACCATTAAACTAATGTCTAATTATTATTTCCACTACGAAAAGATGATTTGTATGCGGCGCGAACTAGTCATTGTTAAAGTCGACGACCGGCAAATTTTTCCCAATTCTCCCATACGCCGAGTACTGTTTTTGCTCGTCGAAAAATGACGCCTGATTGATGTTTGTCCAAACCCTCATTTACATAAATTTCCATCCCAGGACGTTGATTAATCATACCCGTTCGAATCACCGGTATCGATTTATCTTTTATCGAAAATGCGCCTACAGACACAGGAGAAAACCAACATCCCGGACGACAATTTCCATTTTTCTCATAAATATTCAAGTGGGAAAAAAGTTTTATTACAGTACCGCGAAAATACGTGTCTCGGGTACTTATTCAAGGATGTGTGTGTGCGTTGCTAACGAGCGGAGGGGCATCCTTTCCAAGGACGAGTGCTGCTAGTTGTGGTCTTTAATTATCTGTCGAAATTGTCAATTAAGAGGACGTTTATTAGTCGCATGGTAGCCAATAACCGTGCTTAAAAAACTGAGCAATTACTTTAACGTTAGCATAAAACCCAATCGTGGCAGTTAATGGTCGCGATTTCAACCAATCAATTGCAATTTGCTAGTTATTAGAGGCATGACATTTTAATGGGCGGTTTTTGCCTTTCTGTAGTCCTGTGGCGGAAATGGATAATCCTTGTTACGAGAAAGACACAGGGATCTGGACAATTAAAGTCGAATTTGTTGCTTTCTTGAAAACCACTGCCGTGGGTATTAGATTACTTTTTGCAAATAGTGATGCAAGAAAATTTATTCCATTAAAACGTAGATGTTTTGATTTATTTGACAGTTGCAAGTCTAACGACTTAAGTCTTAAAGACAAGATCAAAAAATAAATCAGTGCACTCTACTTTTACTTCGTGATTAATTAATTTTAATTTAAAACTTGATTTACGCCAAGTAAAACTGAAGATGTTCAATAAAGTTGCAAAAAAATGCACAAGAACTTGTTAATACATTCGTCTGATTAAAACCCAGAAAGTAACATAAATTGATTTGTTACAGTACGCTTAATTAAATTAAATTATGCCATATACGCGATCAGCACGCTGTTAGTTGTAACTCAACATGTAAGCGCACGATAATTGTAAACAAGTCCAAACTAGTTTACATTATAGATAAGAGGAGTGAAATTGCCAATGAATCACTAAAGGAAAACTAAGTAGATAATTCTTACTCCACTTATAAATTCCAAATGAATGCTAATGGTGCACTGAAAATTCCAGATGTCGCAAAACCTCTGCATAATCGTCAAATTACCAGCGAATGCGTCAGTACCAAACAGCACCGACGAATTCCCTCCCGGCCAAAATATTAGTACTCACCAACTTCACCCCACTTCTCCCAACTACCATCAAATTATAAAGTACCTGCAAGGTACCACCTTATTATTCAAATTCCGACTAGATTATCTCATTCCACCAAACGAATTTTTTTCTTAATTACACGCGATTATTCCAGCTAATTTATGTCAAATGCAAATAAACCAGCCTTTAGAAACCCGAATATTCATAAAACTGCAAGGCGTAGGCTAATTTATGCCATCTGTTCGAAAAAAACAAAGTTCAGCTTCACGTTTCATTAAACCTTAACCGAAATCGTGTTAAATTCGTTAGTCCAAAATCCGTTTCGTTCGCTAACCTTATTTTCGTCACGTGGTGGGCAGAATCGAATCGTAAAGACGCCAGGAGCGACACAACGACTCCCGGTAACCACCCACAGCTCTGTTTTTCCATCCA